TTTTTTTCTTTGTTTTTTTTTTTCTTTTCGCCTTTTCGCTTTCTCACTGCTCTCTTTTCCCCTCTTTTCTCTCTCCTCTCTCACCTGCTCTCTTTTCCCCTCTTTTCTCTCTCCTCTCCGGCCTACCATTCCCCTCAGCTCTCTTTTTCCCTCTCCTCTTTCCTCTTTTCCACTCTTTCTTCTTCCCCTCTGTTGTTCCTCGCGCTCGTTCTCTTATAGAGGCATTCTTCTTACCTTCTCCTTTGTCTTATCTTTTCGTCCTCCTTTCTCCCTTCCTTCGTTGTTTCCATCTTCTTTCCCTCCTCCCCTCCCCCCTTCTTCCCTCTCTCTCATCTTCCATCCTTTCCCTCCCCCTCCTTCCCTCCCTCCTCCCTCCCTCCTCCCTCCCTCCTTCCTCCCTCCTCCCCTCCCTTCCCACCTATCTTCTCTCCTTCCTCCCTCCCTCTTCCCTCCTCCTTCCCTCTCCTTCCTCTCATCCCTCTCCCTCCTTCTTTCCCTCCCTTCCTCTCATCCCTCTTCCCTGCTTCTTTCCCTCCATCCTTCCCTCTCATTCCTCTTCCCTCGGTAAGTTATGAGTCACCCTTTATCATGCGGACAGAACCCCGCCCCCCCCCCCCTATCTCCCTCCCCCGTCATGCTGGCACTGCGACCTTCGTCTCCTACGTGACCTTGACCAGAGAGGTGCCAAGGATGCTCGTGATGGTGTGGCTCTGCCGTCCGTTGTCTCCTCTCCCTTCTTCCATCCCTCTCTCTCTCTTCTCTCTTTTCTCACGTCATCTTCTCCCCTGCCTCTCTCCTCTCTGTCCCTTCCTCCTCCCTGCCCTATTCTCTTGCTCCTCCCTCCTCCCTCCCCCTCTTTTCCTCCCTCCTCCTCCCTCCTATTACTCCCCACCCTCTCTCTCTTACCCCCCTCCCCGTCCCTCTCTCTTACCCCCCCCCACCCCTCTCTCTCTTACCCCCCCTTTCTCTCTTACCCCCCCATCCGCCCCTCTCTCTCACACCCCATCCGCCCTCTCTCTCACCCTCACCCCTTCTCTTACACCCCCACCCCTCTCTTTTCCCCCACCCCTCGCAGACTCTCTCTCTTGCCCCCCGCCTCTCTCTCTACCCCCCTTCCGTCCCTCTCTCTCTTTATCCCCCTCCCGCCCCTCTTATCTTACCCTCCATCCCTCTCTTACCCTCCCCCTTCTTCCCTCCCATCCCTTCTCTCTTACCCCCACCCCTCTCTCTTACCCCCCACCCCTCTGATGCACCGCGCCCCGCCCCTTCGCGATTTCCCCTCTTTGGTGTGGCCTCTCGTCTTCTCCTCCTGTGCCTTCCGTTATTCATTTTGCCTCTCTTGCCCTTTCCTCTCTCACCCTGCTGTTTCACGGATTTCTAAGTCCCCCTGATTGTTTTTTTATGTTTTTTGTGTTTATTTTTGTGCTTATCATCAACGTCGTCATTATCACCGTCATTATCATTACTTTGTTTTTGGTTTCACTAGATTAGGTCAGTTCCCCCTTTCATTCTTCACTTCCTCTCCTTCCTCGTTTATCCTCCTTCTTGCCTCTCTTTCCTCCTTCTTCCCTCTTTTCCCTACTCCCTCTTCCCTCTCCTTTCACTTCGCATTTCCGTCTCTTCCCTCTCTTCCTCCTCCTCTTCCTCTCCTTTCCCTCTTCCCTCTCTTTCCTCCTCCCTCTTCCCTCTTTTCCCTACTCCCTCTTCCCTCTTCCCTCTTCCCTCTTCTTTCACCTCCCATTCCCGTCTCTTTCCCCCTTCCTCTTCCTTTCCCCCCTCTTACCCTCATTTCTCCCTCTTCCTTTTCCCCCTCTTTCCCTCATTTCTCCCTCTTCCTCTTCCCTCTCCTTTCACCTCCCATTCCCGTCTCTTTCCCCCTCCCTCTTCCCTTTTTTCCTTTTCCCCTGCTTTCCCTCATTTTCTCCACTCTTCCTTCTACCCCCCCCCCCCCCCCCCCCCCCAGCCGTGCAAGAGTTCCTCGTGCGGCGGCGGCGTCGGCCGGTCTCTCCCCGACCCAGATATATTCAGCTTTAAATCCGCCCGCCATTCTGCCCTCTCTCTTTCTTTCTTTCTTCCCTTCTTTCTTCGCCTCCCGCTGAACACAAAACACTTTTTCTGCGGCTTGTTGACTCGGTCGTTCCTCGCCTTGTTTACTTTACCTGCCCTTCCCCCTCTCCTTCTCCTTCTCCTCCTCCTCTCCCTCTCTCCCTCCCCTTCTCCTTCTCCCTCCCTTCCCTCCCCTCTCCCTCTCCCTGGCTACCTCCCGTCACCCTCCCTCCTCCCTCTCCCTCTCTGCCCTCTCCCTCCCTCCTCCTCTTCCTCCTCCTGGCACTGTCTCCCTCTCTCTTTCATTTCTCTTTTGTTTCTCCTTTCATTCTCTCTTTCTCTTCTTCTTTTTTTTTTTTTGGTATTTTATTCAAGGCGTGGGCTTTGCTTTTTTCCGGGCGGCCATGGTGGTAGTTTTTAGCGCTCTGACGAGGAATCCGCCCGCCCTGTCCGT